TGTGTGTGAGTGAGTCTAATGTATCCATTTCCATTCTCTGCCACCGCGCCCCTGTCGATCACAGTCTGACACCATCCACACTGGCTCATTACCATCCATTCTCTTTCTCTCTGTGTGTGCTTACTCACACAATATCTGATTTATCTGATATTATTCCTGTGTGCACATTGCATAAATCACCTGCTACTGTATGTATCTGGAGCAGACAGCATCTGAACATTGATTGATAGCGCTCTCTTTCTCTCTCTCTCTCTCTCTCTCTCTCTCTCTTTCTCTCTCTCTCTCTCTCTCTCTCTCTCTCTCACATATACCCCATTAAGTTTGATGATGTCTGTGATTTCTCTCTTGTGCGTTAGTTCCACATTGTAATATCTACAGTACATCAAAATGTATATATTTGTTAGTTATTTCCCCTCACAAAGCCATCCATAGTCATTTTGCATTTTTCTAGCTTAATACAATTTTTCAATAATGACAGCAGTACTCGAACCTAATGATCATGTTCTCACGATTTGAGATGATCCAAAGAGCATTTAGAGATTCAGTCGAAGAAGATCTGACAGTCTGTGCAACATGATCTGTCACAAATTTACATATTTCATTAGTGACCTTAATAATGCAAACTCTGTTATGTTTTTTTTATTATTACTAGGTTTAAATGAGATGTATTTATTTATTGGTTTGTTTGTTTGTTTTAAATTATTAAAATGCAGAACATTGTTTTTAAGAGGAGTAGGGTTTTTTGGGATTTTAATGAAGAATTTTAACGAAGGGTACACTTTTTCAAATGCATATTTTTTCATTACCTGGTTTATATAAGGTTTATTTTCTTTTTCATTTTTTTTTGTGTGGGATTATGAAATTATAAGGTTTAATATTTTATTTATTTATTTACTTACTTGACTAATTAAAAATGCAGAACATTTTCTTTTAGGAATAGGAGTAGTGTTTGGGTTAGTAATTGCAATCAGGTTTATATGAAAACATTAGAAGTCTGTTTTAGAATTTGAATGAAGTACCGGAATGTCGAGTCTCAGGCGATTGTAATATTCCAGTGGTTTATAATGAATATAAATGAGCTTTCTTTCGTCACAATATTGAACCAACATAGACATTTCATTATTACCATCATAAACTCAACATCCTTATTATTACACAATAATCCAAATGCATGTGCATACAGTAGAATCTCACACACTCACGTGTTGTTGCTGGTGGGTGTCGAAACTAATATAATCCAAATTTGCTGAGAGATAATTGCTTTTCTAAACTCATGAATACACATGATACTGCAGCATGAAAAACCAGTGGACTCCAGAGCCAATGCCAGGCCGATAAATCAGATTTGGGCCGCTTGTAATGAAAAAGCGCCAAAGGATGCTGACACCAGAACTGCATTTCCCAGGGGCCTCGGCAGTTATCACCTTAGCAACAGACACGGCCTGAAGGTCATAGTCTTAATTGAGTTTTTGTTTGTTGTCAGTCTGAGAGACACTCAGAATGATAAAACATCAGCGAGGAGCTGTGAGGCTTTAAATGAGAGAATATTTCAGTTTTATCTTGTGTCAATCTCTATTACACTTTGATTATGTCTTCCTTTTTAATGATTCATGTTGGTTTCTTAGCGTGAATGCATTATTATCCTTATTTTTCTCATTATAAATTCATACAAAATGTTCTCTGTCTTTTTGCACATCTTATTTTCTTTCCTTTTTCTTTTCTCCGTGCTATAGTTCACCACCTCAGTATGGCCACTGCAGTCAAACTATCCAGCAATGGTTTGAAGTTTTTTCATGTCCCATGATGCTTTGCCCCAGGCATGACCATGACCTCTTGACATATTTTCCCCTTAAGCATATTGCAAACCCTGTTGCTGTACGAACGAAATCTGTCATTAGATTTGCTGTTCCACAAAAATATATAGTTTCCATTTATATTTCCATATCTCTGAGGATAAATACATGATATAATCATAAATCATCAAAATGCACCTGTCTTTGTGAGAGTGGGTGATTTTTTTTTTCCAGCAAGTGTAAGGTTGTTGTTGAACCAGTTCTCAATTTCTGTAAGAGAACCCTTTAGTTTCCCAAACATAGATCAAAAAAATTGCGGCAGACATGAAAGTCAGGTTTAGGGAACATTAATTCTGATGTTTCCTCGGTGTGAGGAACTTAACTTTGAAAGGAAGGTTTTGGGATGGTAGACGTCTGATGAAAGGAGGCTTATCACCCTCATCCACAGCTCACTCTCATCTAGAATATCTCTCTCTCTCTCTCTCTCTCTCTCTCTCTCTCTCTCTTTTAAAGGCTTATGAGGCTTCAGCACACACATACATCCCTCAGGGAGACTTACGTAACTGTGTTTGCCTCTCATCTCTCTTGAGATGAGGAGACTCTTGAGCGGCATTTCAGAAACTCTCTGAAACAGACTTTGGATTTAAACACTTTTGTGTCTGGATCTTTCTTTCTTTCTTTCTTGTTTTATGTACATTTTACACGATTTAACAGTAACCGGGTTTTTCCTGCATTGAAATTATTGAATCGTTGTCCCGTCAAAGCTTTATTTGATAGTTTAATGTGATTTCTGGATGACGTAGAATTGTAGATGACTGCTGTCCTTGTGCTGGTGGTGTGGAGCGCATGTTGATGACTGCGGGAGAGAACGCCTTTCTATTCAGTTTTAATACCTAATTTCTTTGATCAGACTACTCACTTCACCCTATTTGTCTTCGTATGAAATGCCCTTCTTAAAAAAAAAAGGAACATTGCAATGAGCTTATGTGTATTTGCTTTTTAAAATTAGTCAAAAATCCCGTTCATGTTAGCTTAACATTTTTTTTGGTCTGGTTTTAACACAGTTCACCAAAAAATCACACTATGGGGGTATTCACACCAGGAAAATCCGCTAGTTCACTTGCTTTGGTCCGGACCAAATACAATGTTGATTTTTTTTTTTTTGTGCGGTTCACTTTCATTTTTTTTTGTTTGGTGCGGTTCGCTTTCACACTGCCCTTTTTGCAAGTGAACCAGAAACTGTAAACAAAACCACACGTGTGCTTAAGGTCATCCATTCATTGGTTCATCCATTCAACCGTACTAGAGTTTGTTTGGAAGCGGACCGAGACCACCTCTTCAGCTGGGTCTCGGTACGGTTGTTTGGTCTGCACCCGAGTGCGATTGCTGTATTCACACCTGCCCAAAAGATCCGCACCAAAGGGGGAAACAAACTTGAGTTTGATTCAATCGAACCAAACAAGACAGGTGTGAATACACCCTATGATACCGTTAATAGTGACCATTGTAAATAGCAAGCAATTTAAAACAATTTGACAAATAATGACTTTACAAAAAGACATTACAAAAATAAAGCAAAATAAATATGACCGTAAATGATAAATAAAACTGCATTTAACAAATGTTTGTAACATTTTCTAATTGTATCTATTTTTTACATATTTTATTTTGACAATAATTTCAAGAAATTACTGTCAAAATAAAATATGTAAAACACTCGACTGTGGGATATTGTGAAAACAGTCAAGTTTACAGTCATTATCAATAGTATTAGTACTTATGAAATACTTATTTCATTTTAAATTAATTTCTTATAGATATTATTATAAAATTAACTTGTATACATTATATATAAAATTATATAATGAACATTATAAAATAAGTATCTTAAAGTGGTATCAAAACAACAATAGCAAAATTAGCCAGAAACTTTTAAAATCTTGGAACTGCATAATTTATTGACACAGCAGAGCAGGCTGAAAAAGTACATGGCAGCACATTACTTTGTAAATACACACATGCTTACTGCAATGCAGACAACGATAATCACTGCAGTTCTACTTTTATACATTTCCAGCTCCTGTTCATTGTGAAGTCACTACATATAGCTGTCTTTTTATTGTAATTCGGTAAATTATACAACTACTGCAACGAAACAGCAGCAGGTAGCCAAAAATATACTGTAAATTGACACTTAGAAGTTTTATAATGCTGGATTTTTGAGCACAACAACCTCTAGAGTTCATAGGGAAATGACTATAGGAACACAAGAAAGTGAGTGTCAGTCTGTGGGTGAAAATGGCTTTTTATGAGAAAGGTCACAGGACTGGTTCAAGCTGACAGGAAGGCAACAGTAACTGAAATAACCACGCAATAGCACAGTGACATGCAGAAGAACATCCCTGAACGCACAACACATCAAAACCTTGAAGAAGGGGGGCTACAGCAGCAGAAGACCACATTGGCTTTTTCTCCGGTCAACTCAGAATAGGAAAATGAGTCTAGTGGGCATAGTTGCAATTGGACAGTATAAGATTGGGAAAAAGCCACCTGGTCAAACTTTGCCATTTACAGCATGAATCCATGGATCATTTCTGCCTTATTTCAATGCTTAGGATGCTATTGGTGGTGTAATAGTGTGGAACTTATATTGCTCGACATACATTTGGCTGCTTAACTGCAATTCAGCATTACTTAAATGCCAAAATCTACCTAAATATTGTTTCTGGCCAAGTACTCTAGTTTAGCTACTGACAAAATCAGTTTGTCAGTGATCCCCATAGTGACCAGATGTCAATCCATTTGAGCACTTTTGGGATGTTGGGGAATGGCAATTTTACAGCATGAATTCACAACCGACATCTGGAGCAAAGTGTCATGCTATAATGTCACCTTGGACCAGAGTGTGCAGCATCGTGCTGAAATCATGGCACAGATAATTCAGACTGTTCACATGGCAATGTGTTAGAGAGGTACCTATTAAAGTGTGTACTGTATATGCTGTAGATGACACATTTATTTTGAAGGTGTGCTAGTGGTGGTATTTTTGTTTGCCTTGTCTGCAGCAGTATCTCTTCATTATATAATTACTGTCCAAAAGTTTAGGGTTGGTTTTTATTAAAACAGATTTTTTTCCCTATTTGAATATATTTTGAATATAAAATTAATATCTATTTGAATATGAAATGTAACACCAAACACTGAAAACTGGGGTAATAGCTGCTAAAAACTCAGTTTGCCATCACAGGAATAAATCACATTTTAAAACTTATTGAAATATAAAATAATAAAATAGCAACCCAGCACTGGTTAAATATTGGACAGAACACATGCTGGATTATTTTGACCCAGCTGGTTGGGTTAAATGTTTGACCCAGCATACTGGGTTATTTTATTTAACCTAACTATTGTTTAAAAATTGCTATATTGCTGGCTTAAAATAGATTGGAAATTAGAAATCACACACAGAACACAGACTTATTCACTCATAGCTGAAAGATGCAGTGACTGACTCCATAACCTGCCCATAAACGAACAGTACTGAGATTAGAGAACATATTGTAACATCAAAATAAATTCAATTCTGTATTATAACAAAAAAAAATCAGTTTATGTCATGCAAGGCAAACGGCATTTCCATCATGCGAAACAACCATCGCTGACGCATTTAGCAGACAGACATCTCGTCCCGGTCTTTACAGCACAGTAAAGACTTTATAGATTAAATAAAACGTATACAAACTTTTATTTCACTGAGGAAGTGCACCAATTAGGCGGCAATGAGAACTGATCTCTCCTGAAGAGGATGCAAAAAGCCCGCACTCTGACTGTGACTCAACAGCTGGGTTGTTTCGTCGGAGGGAGGGGTGTATAGTTTCATCTGTCAGTGAGATCGACCCAGCCAGTAACCCAACGGCTGGGTAACACAAAAACTACCCAACACTGGAAAAAACAACCCAACATATGACCCAACAGGCTCAACCCAGCGCTTGGGTAGAAAAAATAACCCAGCATTTTTTAGACTGTGTGTGTATATGTGTGTATATATATGTGTGTATATATATATATATACAGTATGTGTGTGTGTGTGTATAAATGTGTACATATATGTTTGTGTATATATAATATTTATCTCATGTTCCCGCAATGGGAACACTCAGTCTTTGTGAGCAAGGTTTCTACATGGGTTTTCCCCAGGCACGAAATGCTATATATATAAATTCACGTTTTGTTTATCATGATCAGCATATGAGCATTTAACACTGTTGTAATCTGAACATCTTTTCTTTCCATTCGATCCATGAATCCAGTGCATTGTTTGCTTTGTGTCATGATAAACTACAGTAGAAGAGGTTATTTTGTATAGGTCTGTGTGTGTGTGTGTGTGTGTGTGTGTGTTGCGTGTTGTTCATTTGCATTCATCATTGGCCACTGGATCTTCAGTTGTTTTGTATTAAGTACAGTCTGTTTATTGCCTTTACAGTGTATTTGGCATTGTTCCCAGATAGCGCATGCACATACGTACG